TGATCATGATCATGATCATGATCATGATCATGATCATGATCATGATCATGATCATGATCATCACCATCATCCGGAGCGTCCCGGATCGGCGGCACTGGCCGGAGGCCACTACAATATGTATATATCCGCCGGCCCCCTTGTGGGGCCACCAGGCTGTAGGCCTGAGGTTCGCAGTTTCCTGTGCCAGTTGCAGCTTCCAGTTTCCACTGTTACAGTTTTACTTCTTGCTGCTTACTGCTCCTTGTTGACTTCTTGCTGCTTACTTTACTGTTCCTTGTTGATGGACCGCGCGAGGGGGGGAGGCCCAAAATGGGCATTTTTACCACGCCCTGGGAGGGTTCTCAGAATTTCTGGGGGGCTTAAAATTGTCACTCCTCACGCAGATCGGCGGGGTCAGGGTCCAAAAACATAAGGGATTTGCCACATTTCTGAAACTCGGTGGCACCCCTCACGCAGATCGGCGGGGTCAGGGTTCAAAAACACGGGGGATTTGCCACATTTTAGAAATTCGGCGACACCCCTCATGCAGATCGGTAGGGTCAGGGTCCAACAACAAAAAGGATTTCCCACATTTCTGAAACTCGGTGGCGCCCCTCACGCACATCCGAGGGTCAGGGTACAAAAAACACAAGGGATTCGCTACATCTCTGAAATTCGGTAGCACCCCTCACGCAGATCCGTAGGGTCAGGGTCAACAAAAACACAGGATTTGCTATATTTCTGAAATTCGGTGGCACCCTCCACGCAGATCCGCAGGGTCAGGGTCCAAAAACATATGGGAGTTGAAACATGTCTGAAATTCGGTGGCACTCCTCATGCAGATCCGTAGGGTCAGGGTCAAAAAAACACAAGAGATTTGCCACATTTCTGAAATTCGGCGACACCCCTCACGCAGATCCGTAGGGTCAGGGTCCAAACATACAGAAAGGATTTGACACATTTCTGCAATTCGGTGGCACCCCTCACGCAGATCCGTAGGGTCAGGGTCCAACAACACATGGGATTCGCCACATTTCTGAAATTCGGTGGTGCGCCGCACGCAGATCCGTAGGGTCAGGGTCCAAAAAATACAAGGGATTTGCCACATTTGCAGAATTCGGTGGCACCCCTCACGCAGACCCGCAGGGTCACGACGTCTTACCAACCGCCAGGTGTGGTAACCGCTCTGGTGATCAATTGGTTTTGCTCATTACGAGTCGGCCTCGCATGAAGTTCCCATACTGCTTCACGACAGCGCCCAGGCCTCATGACATAGCTCTTGCATAGCGCATGCTCCGAGAGAGGGGGCCGGCGGCAGGGGGCGAAACCCTTACGGATATGTATATATATACATATATATATATATATATAGATTCATATGTATATATATATATATATATATATGTATATATATATATGTGTGTATGTATATGTATATATATATATGTAGACAGATGTTCCCCACACCATGCGTGCACTTAGGGGTTCTTACTTCTCGTCTGAAACACTAGGCCTGGCTTGTGGCCGCCCGTCGCCATCCGTCGCCGCCGTCGCCGCTGGGCACCAGTGGCGGTCTGACCGGCTCGTCGCCGCTTGTCGCTGCGTTGCTTGGCATTGCGTTGCGTTGTGTCGAATTGCGTTGCAATGCTATGCACCGCCTTGCATTGGTTTGCACCAACTTGCATTACGTTGCGTTGCTCTACATTGGCCTGTATTTGCTGTGCATTGCTGTACATCGATGTTCATTGCCTTGCATTGCTTTGCATTGCTTTCCGTTCCTTTGCGTTGCTTTTGCATTGATTCGCATTGCGTTGAGCTGTTTTTGCATCGCATTGTATTGCTTTGTATGGCTTTTCGTTGCTTTGCGCTGATTTGTATTGCTCTGAATTGCTCTGCACTGGTTATCATTGCTTCTCATTGCTTGGCGTTGCTTTACATGGTTTTGCATTGCCGTGCATTGCTTTGCATTCCCTTGTATTGCCTTGCATTGCTGCGCATAGTTCCGCATCGCATTACATTGTTTTGCAATATGTGCATTATTTTTTCACGTCGTTGCGTTCCTTTGCATTTCGTTGCGTTGCTTTGCATTGCGCCACATGATTGCGCTACCTAGATTGCACCACCTAGATCGTAAGACATCACTGTTTGGGGTCCACGCTGGCTAACATATCTAGATTATTATCATTATTAAGCAACTGTGGCTCGAAGTGTCGCAGACGGCTGTGCGACTGTGTACGTATGTATGTTTACGTATGTATGTATACTTATATATTTGTATATATATATATATATATCACAATGACGGGGCCGAATCGTGATTCACTGTCCCTGGGTGCGTGGCTAATGTGGGACTCCGCGGCGCGGAGTCTGCCTGTTGAGTTCTCATTCCCAATGCAGACTTATTCTTGATCCCCCGCCTCCGGTAACCATTACATTTTTCAATTCAAATGCTCCTCCCGGGGCTCGCACCCTGCTCTTCTTTGGCTGGGTGTCACCAAACTGGGCCCTTGCCCCCGAGTTGCAACAACAATGGCTCGCGTGATACTTCCTGACCATTTGTTGAGACATCGCGGTCTCGCGCGGGACTTCCTGACAATTTATGCAGGAAGCGCGCTTTCGCGTGGAACTTCCTCGCAATTTGCTCAGGCGCCGCGCCCTCGACACTCAGGAATCACGCTCTCGCTTTTGCCTCTCTCACGATTCACTTGGGAATCGCGCTATCGGTCGAGACTTCCTCGCGATTCATGCAAGACTCACGCTTCAACAACCTGTCTGCTCGAACTGGCCGCCTGGGCCCACCTTCCCAACCCGCTCGCCAGGGTCTGCCTGGTCTGCTCGCCTGGCTCTGCCACCAACTAACTTCTCTCGTGCTCCATCTTTGACCCTCCCCCTTCCGTCCGGCCTTTCTTCCGCTGTTTTAGGGGATGCACTAAATTCACATAGCAGGTAAGTAAGATAACCCCCAAGGGGGTACGATCGAAGATGAAGAGGGCGGGTACCGAGGATTTGGGATGTATGTGTTAAAAAGGCACGCGGGCAAATAGGAACGAACAATATTCAAATCATTGTTGGTGTTGTTGTTCTTGTTGTTATTGTTGTCGTTGTTGATCTTGTTGTGGTTAATGTGCCGGCTGCTGCTGCTGCTGCGTCGTCGTTGTTGTTGTTCTTATCATTGTTGTCCCCCCCGCGACCCGGCCCACGACCCACCCGCGACCCACCTGCGACCCACCCGCGACCCGCCCGCGACCCACCCGCGACCTACCCCGCGACCTACCCCGCGACCCACCCGCGACCCACCCGCGACCCACCCGCGACCCACCCCGCGACCCGCCCGCGAACCACCCCTGATCGACCTGCGACTTGGCCCGCCGCCCACCCGCGAACCACCCACATTACTTCAACGATAAAATCGGCGCCTGAGGCGGGCTCGTTGTATACGTTGTAAAAATTAAGCACCTGCGGCGGGCTTCTTCAGAGCCTCGCAGACTGCATGTCCCCGCCGCCCCAAACTCTTATCCGCAACTGAGGGGTGCTAGGAGTACGAAACAAGCAGGTGTTGGCTTTCTGACCGTCGCCGTACTAATTGGTTCCTCGGTTTGGTATTTGATCGGGTTGGGACGGCTATGGTGCGCGGTCGTTTGCTAGTTTGGAGGTCAGAGCCGCTGGGGCCTGTCAGGAGGCCCCTTGGGGCGTCTCGGGGACCTTTTGAGGGCCTTGGGGTAGTCTGCTGGCGGTCTTGGGGTCCCTTTGGGGCGGAAGGCTCGAAATCTCAATTCAAACTCCCCCTCTTGGACCCCTCAGAGGGCCCTCTTGGACCGTTTTGGGCGCTTCGTGGGCCGTCTTGGGGCTCTTTGGGGGCATTTCAGGGTCCTTTTAGGGTCCCCTTGGGCCGTCTTGGTATGATCTGGGAGGCCTCTTGGGCCATCGTGGGCGCCGAGAAGACTGAATCGCTGCGTATGCTAAACATGCATGTTTTCCCTAGGAGGAATGTTGTGATGTTTCGTCTTGGAGCTCTCTTCGGAGGACTCTCGGAGGTCTCTTGGGGCGTCTTGGAGACCTCTTGAGCCGTCTGAAGCCATCTGGAGCGTCTTTGACCGATCGCTCGGCGATTCGGGACCCCCCGCGAGACATCTAAGATGCTGGATCAAGGGCAGGGGGAGCAGGGGAAGAGGAGGAGGCGAGCGATGAGGACGACAGTGGGAGCAGGGGAGGAGGTGGGCACGGAGGGAACAGGCGAGGAGGAGGAGGATGAGGACCACAGAGGAGCAATGAGGGAGCAGGGAGAGGGGAAAGGGAGAACAACGGAGGGAGCAGGGAAGGAAGGGGAGGAAGAGGCTGATGACCACAGCAACGGCGAAGAGGTACAAAGACAGGAGAGGGCAGAGCCGGACGGAGGCTCCGCAAAACCCACATGCGGGGAGATTCGCAGTGTGGCCCATGGCACGAGCGGAGACGAGAACCATGGCCTGGCTGTGGCTAGAATCTGAGCGCGCGCGTAGCGCGCGTGGTTCTAGTATATATATATATATATATATATATATATATATGTGTGTGTTCACCCATATGTGTATATGTGTATGTATGGATGCATACGTGCATGTATGTAAGTATGAATGTGTACGTAGGTAAATATGTATGCATGCATGTATGTATGCATGTATGTATGCGTGGCATACACCATATCCCCGCGTGTGTGCGTGTATGCATGTGAGTGAGGGAGAAGAGCCCCCATCCGTACCTCTACCACCCGCCTGCCTACACGCATCTAGACCAGGCTCTGGGCTGAAGCACATGGGACGTGATTCATTCAACTTTGATCGATTTGCCGCCTACAAGGGTGATCACGATTCTACTCCAGGTCTGACCGTAATGAATAGTTCACGACAGGTTTCACACCTTGTGCTGTTGGGAAATCTGATCTTCTTCTCGACTGGGCGGGGGGGGAAATAATCACGATCCGATGGACATCTTCACGGCTGGAATGTCACAGCAACGCCCATGCCCGACACTTCTTACCCTTCGAAGAATGCTCGTCCCGAGCGATGACCCACTGGCGATATATTCGCTTCATTCCTACGATCACGCGGCCGAGGACATGATGTTCTTGAGGACCGCCTGGCCAATCTCGCCCATGAGCTTGACCTTGTAGGGAAACAGGGCGAGGGCGGGGGCGAGCGAGGACGGGGAGAGGAGAGAACGGGGCGGAAGGGTTCATGTGTGTGTGTGTGTGTTTGTTTGTACGGTCCGGCCCGGGGTGCGTTCTGAGCAGAACTTCGAGGCGAATCCAGCGCTGGCGACGAGGGCCTTCCAGGAGGCCGCAAAGGGGAAAACGGGCGAAGGGTAGTGGTACTGGGATTGGCGCGGGGGGGGCTAAGGGGATAGGGGAGTTATCAGTGGAGCCAAAGAGATTCTACCTGGCCAAACCTAGCTTATAAATGGTTTACACATGCCCTATGTGGTTTAGGGGGATTAAACAACTCCGCTAAGTGGGCGGGGCAAACTTCGCCTGGATCGCTGTCCACCCATCCACCTGGGGCATTCGCAACCCACTACAGAACTAGGTTAGGCCAGATATAACCCACCTTGATATCCACTGATCAACCCCCCTATCCCCTTAGCAACCCCCGCGCACATCCCAACTGACCAACTGCAGCAGCCGGCGCACCCGAAATGGAAGCTTGCGGACCGGGCGTTCGAGAACCACTTGAGGGGCTCAAGAATCAGTGGGGCCCTGCAGGGGAATACCTCTGGCGGGGAGGACGAGGATGGGGAGGAAATATGACGTCTTCTAGTCGTCGAATTCCCGGTTCCAGGTTTCCTGGGTTCCCGGTTCCCCGTGCCTGGCTCCCTGGCCCGGTTCCCGGTTCCCAGCTCCCCGCTATTGCTCCATAGTGGGAGGAGGAGGAGGAGGAGGAGGAGGAGGAGGAGGAGGAGGAGGAGGAGGAGGAGGAGGAGGAGGAGGAGGAGGAGGCGGAGGAGGTCGAGGAGGCAGAGAAGGAGGTCGAGGAGAAGGGCGCTTAGGGCCGCCCGTCGCCGCCCGCATAGCAAAGCCATGCAGTCACCCGGAGCCGCCACGATCCCTAGCAACAAAGACGAAGTGTCCGCGTCCCGAGCTTCCAAAACGGTCCAGGCCGGCAGCCAGGCAACCAGGGACACCAAGACGCCCTAGGAGGCCTCGAAGAGGGCCCACAATGGCCCAGAGGCGGATATGTCTTCCAGACGGCCCAGAGATGTCTCCAAGAGTGCCCCAAAGGGCTACAAGCGGACCTTCAACAGGGCCCGAAAAAGCCACAACCAATGATTGCCCTTTGGTTTTTGATTGATTCTCACATTCTCGCCTTTTCGGACTTCCGTCAGCTCAAGACGGCCCAAGAAGTCTCCACGATGGTCCCAAGACAGCCCAAGAGGGTCCAGAGATGGCCCAAGAGGTCCCACGAGGCATCTAAAACAGCCCTCAGACGGCCTCCCGTGCGACCCAAGACGGCATCAGAAGGCATTGCGACGGCCCTACGACGGCCCCCAGACACCCACCAGACGACCAAGAGAGCCCCAAGACGGCCCAAGAAGAGAGCCCCAAGACGGCGTAATTGTGCCCAAAGACGGTCCAAGATGGCCCCAAGAGACCTCCAAGACTGCCCCACAGGAGGCCAAGACAGCTCCAAGACGGCACACAGAGTCCCATGAGAGTTCCTCAAATTCTGAAACCGAATGGTGTCACATGTGACGGCCTTCCTCTTCCTCTTCCACCTCCTCCTCTTCATCCCACTCATCTTCCTCATCATCACCACCACCATCATATACATCATCCGAATCCTCATCATCTTCCTCCTCCTCCTCGTCCTCCTCCTTCTCCTCTTCCTCGTCCTCATCCTCCTCCAGTCTCCTCCCCCTGCCCTCACCTTTCCTACGCCTGATCCTTTTGCTTCCTTCTCCTCTTCATTCTCTTCCTTCTCCCTCTTATCTTCCTCCTTCTCCTTCTCCTTCTCCTATGCCCATCCTCCTTTCAGGGGATGCGAGACAAACACGAGGGGGCGATGGAGAGACGTGAACTGGGAGATCGAGGTGGGCTATGGGGGAAAGAAAAGCGGGAAGCGCTCTGCCTCTAACTTGTTGCCTCTCCTCTGTACCTTCGCTGCCGAACGCAGCGTTAGGCTTCCTGTATCCTCAAGCTGCATTTCGAACCATACTGTATTTCGAGGATGCTGCGGAGACTCGAGGGCGCGACATTGCGACGGAGTGCAAACACATACCATGATGGTAATCGAATAAATACTGAACAAGGGTAACAAAGAAATAAAGAGAGAGAGAGAGAGATATAGAGAGAGAGAGGGAAGGATAATGCGAGAGAGAAAGAGAGAGAGAGAGAGAGAGAGAAAGAGAGATACGATACGAAACACGACGGAGCGGATGCCTGAGACTACACTACCCGGGACATCACAAACAACGATCTGATGTGGCCGATCGAGTGCCCAAGGGCAGCCTGGGGCTGTCTAGGGCCAGTTGCTTCTTCCACCAGATAAGGAGGACCTCTTCGACCCTGGGCACTGCCCCCTCTCGAACGGCACTCGCGATCCAAAGATCGTTTGTCCCTGGCCCCTCCGAGCGCCCACGCCCAACCCTGGCCCCACGCCCCCTGCAAGGCCGTCCGCCTGGGCCCGACCCGTTGCCCCAGCCCTCTCGCGGGCCGCGGCCCCACCTAGTCCCAGCAGCCCCAAACCGACGGGGAAACAAACTCGAGATGGTCGCACCCGGCCGCCTTCGCGCTACCGGTGCGGCGGGCGTTTGCCAGGCCACGACGCGGTGCAGACAGGAGGAGGAGGAGGCGGAGGAGGAGGAGGTGGAGGAGGAGGAGGAGGAGGCGGAGGAGGAGGAGGAGGCGGAGGAGGAGGCGGAGGAGGAGGAGGAGGAGGAATAGGACGACGACGGGGAGGGACGCGTGCCCCCCGCGCGGGGAGACAGCCTGGGCCGCGGCCGACGGGCCGCGCAGCGCCGTCGAACGCCGCCGGGCGAACGCGCCGCGGGCTGGCCCATCCCGTTGGCCTTCTCGTGCCGCTCTCTCTCTCTCACCCTCGGCCCACTCGCCCTCCGTGTCCGTCTGACTCTCGGCCCAACTCCCCTCCCGGAGCCTGGCGGACCCCCATCGCCAGCGCGAGCTCCCCCCTGGACTCGAGGCCACTCCCCAGACCCCCTCGCGTTTTTGAACCAATCACGACGCGAGGTTTTTCGTGATTTTCGGCCTCCAGGGGCCCTCGACGCAAGCCCCCCCCCCCCCTGGACTCGAGGCCACTCCCCATACCCCCTCGCGTCGTGAGCAACTCACGACGCGAGGTTTTTCGATATTTTCGGCCTCCAGGGGCCCTCGACGGGCCTCGGAACTGTCAAAAACGACTCAGGATGAAAAACTGGTCCCCGGGATGGGGTCCAGGCTCCTGGGGGTCACGTCACGCAAAAATCACGACGTCGGGGGGCTGGGTCTGGTCCTCCCAAAACTCCGCCGTGCACCCTCTCGGGGTCGGTCAAGAGCGGGGGGCGCAAATCATGACCGGCGGCATGTGCGCGGCCCAGGGGGGGGGGTCCGGGGGCGCATTGGAAGAAGAAGAAGAGGCGCCATGAAATCTAGGGAGATATCACGGCCCCCGCCACGATATCCACTCCCCTCATCATCCCCCCCCTTGCCGCCCCCGAACAACGTGCACCCTCCCGAAGATTTGGACCTCATCCCCAGGAAAGTGAGCGTTTTCTTATTCAGCGTTTCCACAATTGGCGGAAAGGGGGGGGAGGGGGGGGGTCTGGCTCTGGACCTCTGCTCAGTGCGACTGTCTGCAACGGTGCATGCTGCGGGGGAGACTCCACCCGCTCGAAACAGGCGCCCAAAACAGCCAAGATCTACTCCACGGGGGGGGGGGGAGGGGGGAGTGCGAGGGCCCGCGCCGATCGGCAAAACAATGGAGAAAAACACGCTCACAACCTGGTCCTCATCCCGGGTTGCTTTCTGACTGTCCCCCTGGGGGCACGGCGAGGCCCTGGGCGGCCGAACGTGGGCCAACAAAACGAGCCTTGCGCTGCGATGCTTTCTCGTCGAGGGGAGCCCCCCCCTGGCTCGGGGCCCCCGTGGCTCGAGCCCACTCCCTGAGACCCCTTTCCCCGCTCGCCATCGCTCGGACGTCCCTTCCCCGTGCATGTCTCGATCTCGTGCGTTGATTTTTGGGCAAGATGATCCAGTCCGCTCCTCAACCCAGACCTCCGACGTCGTGTTTTTTTCGCGACGTCGATCCCCAGAGGTCTGAGCCCGTGTGTCCCGGGGACCGGTTTTTCGTCCCGAATCGTTGTTTGACGGTCCCGGGGCCCATCGAGGGCCCCCTGAGGCTGAAAGTAGCGAAAAACCATCCGTCGCGATTATTCACGGCGCGAGGAGGTCTGGGTTTGGGTGCGATGATCCAATCTGCTCCTCGATGGCCCTCGCTGGAAAAATTACCGCCCACGCCC